GATCTTGGCTCACTTGCAACCTCAGCTTCCTAGGTTCAAGCAATTCTTGAGCCTCAGCCTCCTGAGTGACTCGGATTAAAGGTGTGTGTCACTATGCCTGGCTAATTTTTGTATTTTTAGTATATTTGGGGCTTTGCTGTGTTGCCCAGCTGGTCTTGAACTCCTGACCTCAAGTGATCCACCTGCCTTGGCCTCCCAAAGTGCTGGGATTATAGGTGTGAGCCACCACACCCAGCCTGGTGGTAAATTCTTCTAAACCAGTGACTTTCAAATTTGTGTTTTTTTTTTTTGAGACAGAGTTTCACTCTTGTTACCCAGGCTGGAGTGCAATGGCGCGATCTCGGCTCACTGCAACCTCCGCCTCCTGGGTTCAGGCACTTCTCCTGCCTCAGCCTCCTGAGTAGCTGGGATTACAGGCACGTGCCACCATGCCCAGCTAATTTTCAAATTTGTTTTTTACTATGATCTACAATGAGTAAATTTTATATTGTGATTCAGTATACACATTTATCAATGTCCTTACATACACAAGCATGACATGTTATACACACACATATATATGAAACTGAAGGTTCCATGAAACAATGCTTACCTTTGTTACCTTGAACGCATTTTTTTTTCTTCTTTTTCTTCTTTTTGAGATGGGAGTCTCGCTCTGTTGCCTAGGCTAAAGTGGCATGATCTTGGCTCACTGCAACCTCCACTTCTGGGTTCAAACAATTCTCTCTGTCTCAGTCTCCTGAGTAGCTGGGATTACAGGCGCCCGCCACCACACCTGGCTAATTTTTGTGTGTTTTAGTAGAGACGGGGTTTCGCTATGTTGGCCAGGTTGGTCTTGAACTCTTGACCTCAGGTGATCGGTCTCTCAAAGTGCTCAAATTATAGGTGTGAGCCACGGCACCCAGTCCCTTGTGGTATTTTTAATTCTATTTTCGTTAAGAAAAAGCTGGTCAAATCCCACTCAATTGACTTCATGACCCACAGTTTGACAATCAGTCTAAATAAAGCACAATCCTGCGAGTGGAGAGACAGCACTGCATAGGTTAATGACCAAAATTCTAATCACTGAAAGAGAAACTTAACTGTGTAGATACAATCCATATGTTGAATGAATATGCTATAATTTTAGTGGAAAATTACGACATTCTAAATAAAAACAGTACAAGTATTCTCTATCAGTGAACTTGCTTGTTTTAAGCTCTGCATAAATTGAATTCTAGTGTTTTATGTTTCTAAGAATGAGCTTTTGTGTGTTTCCCTTCTACTTTCAAAATCTGTTTTGAGGGAAGATACTATTAAGTAGATTCTACTCTTTCCATCTTTTACCCTAGCCTCAAAATCCTCAATGGACACACTACTACAGTTTTTTGGTTTAAGTTCTGGCATGCCAGGGCATCATGGGGAATGCTTTCTTTTTTGAATTCCTTTTTTTTTTTTTTTTTTTTTGAGACAGAGTCTCACTCTGTTGCCCAGACTGGAATGCAGTGGCATGATCTCAGCTCACTACAACTTCCACTTCCCAGATTCAAGTGATTCTGATGCCTCAGCCTCCTGAGTAGCTGCGATTACATGTGTGCCACTATACTCGGCTAATTTTTGTATTTTTAGTAGGTATAGGGTTTGGCCATGTTGTCCAGGCTGGTCTAGAATTCCTGGCCTCAAGTGACCTGTCTGCCTTGGCCTCCCAAATTGCTGGGATTACAGGCAGGAGCCATCACTCCTGGCCCTGAATTCTTGTGTCTTAGATAATATGCAAGCATCCAGGGTAATGTGTGATTCATTTAGGTCTCATAACACCATAATCCAAGGATGAGAAAACTGGGTCCGATTTTCTGAGCAGTGTTCCCCTTTCAGTTTTAATCACACACACTTTTATATGTGAACAACCACTGGCATTAAAGACACCTTCAGCAGTTCAACTACCTAAGGGACTATTTCACTTAGCTGAGAGAAGTATCAAGTACCTTCCTTAATACGTTACATCCCAACAAATACTTTCAGGTAACACTTCTAATAGATGATTATGACTGTTATTTTAAAAACAGGACATAATCTCCATTTAGTTTGCAATGTTTATTATACAATGAACTTAAAAAGATTTTACGCCATTTCTGGCCACTCATGATGGCTCACACCTGTAATCCCAGCACTTTGGGAGCCTGAGGTGGGCAGATCACAGGGTCACAGTTCGAGACCAGCCTGACCAATATGGTGAAACCCCATCTCTAACTTAAAAGAAAAAAGTAGACAGGCATGATTGTGCACGCTTGTAGTCCCAGCTACTTGGGATGCTGAGGTAGAAGACTTGCTTAAACCCAGGAGGCAGAGGTCACAGTGAGCCAAGTTTACACCCCTGCACTCTAGCCAGGAAGACAGAATGAGAATCCGTCCAAAAAAAAAAAAAAAAATGCCGTTTCCATCTATTATACATCACCCCATGCTACTTGTGAGAATTACAACAAATCCTAAACAAAGTTTTGAAAGGGTTAAAGCTTAGATTTGGCTCATTTCTATTTATCTTTTATTACGCTTTTTTTTTTTTTTTTTTTTTTGAGACAGGAGTTTCGCTCTTGTTACCCAGGCTGGAGTGCAATGGCGCGATCTCGGCTCAGCGCAACCTCCGCCTCCTGGGTTCAGGCAATTCTCCTGCCTCAGCCTCCCGAGTTGCTGGGATTACAGGCACGCACCACCATGCCCAGCTAATTTTTTGTATTTTTAGTAGAGATGGGGTTTCACCATGTTGACCAGGATGGTCTCGATCTCTTGACCTCGTGATCCACCCGCCTCGGCCTCCCAAAGTGCTGGGATTACAGGCTTGAGCCACCGCACCCGGCCACCTTTTATTATACTTTTATCCTCATCTAAAGGCAACTATGTACAAGACTTGCAACTCTCCAGTTGCTTTGTGATGCGGGATCACTGGGATAGGAGTATGGCCCAATTATGTGCCTTTGTGTCTTCACCTTTATCTTGTAACTTTCTCAGCCTTGTCAACCCAACTTCCTAATATTACCACAATGTCTGTATTGAAAATTAAACATTACACCTAACTTTGGATCTGCAGCAAAGAGTCAGACAACTCCACTTTCAGGCCAAAAATTGTTGGCTTCACATTCACAGTGTTGGAACTGCTACTACTTGTCCTTCTCATGTGGCATCACCACTTTTTTTTTTTTAATATCGCATGAGCTAATCTTTCTAATATATACAATTTCCATCAAATGTAGATTACATTGTTGAAGCGCAATCAGATCTTTTTGTTTCCCTGAAAAACCCCCTTTTTAGGATATATTCCTGTTTAATTTTCTGTAGCTGGGTAAGCACTCTGTACTATTGCTGGGGCTGTTTTAAAAACTGTCTGTGCTGATCCAAATCAAACAGACCTTTAGAGGGTACTGACAATGATGTCTTCATTGAATATGATCACTGCTAAAGCTTTAGCTCCTTGTTTGCTCTGTAATGCTGTGCCAAGATCTTGGCCTTTACATGTTCCCAGAATCCCTGGAAACATTACTTATTTGTTTGTGTCAGCATTAGAATGGTTTTGCATTCACAACAAAATGTGAATCTCTTACTGGGTTGAAGTTGTTTTCTCTACCTAATCATGAGACTTGCAGCCTGTTGGAACAGAATTTTAAGTAAAACATACCAGAAGTCAGAGTAATAGGATTCCTTTGTTTTTCAACCTTTCTTCCTAAATATTACAGCATTAACATTTAAAAATTCTGAGGGATACTGATGAGAACTACTGATTAAAGATTCACAATATTTCACTTTTAAGACATAAAAAACCACTCCTCATATCCTAGCCTGATGACTTAAAGGTATCAGCAGGGTATCATAAAAATAATCTGAACACTCAAAATGGGCTTTATTTAAATATCATAAAGGCTAAACATTATGGCTATACCAAAATAAAACACTAAGAATATGAGCAGAAATAACATTTCACAATTTCTGTTTGGAGCTTTTAAAATAATACACTAGTAATTGATTCCTTTCTATTTTGGCTACATTTTGAATAAGAGAACAGAAGCATTTAAAAAAAAATGGGTCCTTTTAAAAAATAACAAAAAGGCAAGTCAATACCAAGAACCAAGCATACTCCCATCAAAGGGAACAGGGAGGCCTAGGGGAGTGCAGTCCACTCAGTGGTTAGATAACATGGGTGCCACACGTGCCCACTGGTGCGTGTCAGCCTTGATGCCAGGGCAGCAGGGCCCTGAAACGTGGAGAGGCAGACAGTTTCACTGGCTCCTCAGGCCAAAGTCCAGCCAGAAGTTGGCTTTGTGGGGTTCCTGTCGTCCTGCCAACCCATGGCACTCCTGGGACACTGCTAGGAAAACACTGGCCAAATCCTGCATGAGAAGTCACCTCCATCACAATCTCCTCAATGTCGGGGGTCAGACTACAGGAAACCCCTTTTATCAGATTTTATGGTGTCTGTACACTAGCCAAGGAAAGTAAGGGAAAGAAAAAGCAAGCAACTTGTTTAACCTCATATAATAGAAAGGAAAGGATTCTCCAAAGCAGTTGATCTGGGAACGAAGCCCAACGTCTCTAAATCTCAGCTCAGGGTACTAGGTTTTCATTTACCCACGGTTTTTAGAAACTTAAATCATTAAGATCCTGTCTACTCTGGGCTATCGTATCATTGGTTTCTCTAACAGAGAGTGGCCCAAAGCCATTGTTGGACACATACAAAATAATCTGTGTACCATTTGACAATAATATATACACAAAGCACATTCAGCCATACACGTATCTCCACAGTACAGACATATATTTAAAAAGTTTTTTAAAACGGAGAGGTCTTCAGCTGTCATTCTTAGGGCTACTAATAGGAAGTATCACTTTTAATAAGGTTCCTCAAACATCACATGCATATGTAGATGCAGAGATGAATACTCACATACCTGTGTGTAGAGGTTCAGAAACAAACACCACCACCACACACATGCATGCAATCTCTCTTCTGAACCAATAAAGACAGTGCTTTGCTAAGGAATGTCTGAATTTTATTGTACTTTTTTTTAAAAGAAAAGAATATCATAATCTTAAACAATTTCTTTCAAATGGATAAACTTAGACAATTTATCAACGCTTCCTTACATTTTTACACCACGCTGAACTCCAACAGGTTTTTGTTTTAAGGTAAACCAGGTTTTCGGTTCTTCCCTGTGGAGAAGTTACTTTCAAGTCAGTGAAAGTTCTTGGCCCATGATTAAAAGTCTTTGCCAATTAGTACTCAACAACTTCAATTCATTTTTTTCTGGTTCAAGATGAGTAGGAGCCTAATAAGGCTGTGATAAAAGGGCAAAAGGCACCGAGAGCCAAAAGCGGATTAATGAGCTCCTCCATTTATTTGTCTTCCTAACAGCTGAACTGTTACAACTATTGACACTCTTCAAAAGGTTCCGCTCTGAACCCTGTCCAGGCACTGCAGGCTCCAATGGACATCTTCAAATCCAGAGAATGGAGGGGCAAGAGCTTCCCCTGTGTGATGCCAAAACCAACAAAGCCCCATGGATCAGGTAATGAAACTTCAGCTTTTCCCCCTTTGAGATGTATTTACTGGCAGCTGACAAGGGGCAAATTCAGCTCGAATTGTGCAGTCAAGGCCCTGTCAAGCTTTTAGAGGCACCCTTGTCTTGAAGCACCTTCATGACTGGCATTTCACTCAAAAGCCCTCGGCACTGGTCCTTAACAGCTTATGACATCACAAAGGACACTCCAGACAGATGCCTACATGGCATCCTGCAGCATTTTAAAAGAGAATTAGTGGTTTTAATTATGGTCGTAGTATGAAAGGGAACCATGCAAGCTCCACAGGAGACCTTTGATCAGACCCTTCTGCTAGTACAATGCCACGGAACTGTGACTATTCCTGGTAAGGGGCCTTTTCTTGCTGAATGACTCGCCAGTGATCTTTGAATGCAGACAAGCTTCTAGCCCTCCCTCTTCATTAGTGAGCATTTCTATACAGGGGCCTATATAGTGCTTGGAGTCTAGGAGCTATACAATTGGGGGGAAAAGAAGTCCTACAGATTCTGGCCTCTACTTAGGAAGTGCTGAAGGACTCTGAGTGACTTTATTCATTAAAACAGGTTGCTATTAATTAACTGTCATAATAAAATAAAGAACTATTATTTGCATTTCTTACTATGTTCTCTTTAGTAATATGTATAAAAGATGCTTGTAACAGAAATGAATTTATTGAGCCCCTTCCCCATCCCCCCCAGTCCCTGCCTTTTTTTTTCCCCTTTGCATTTTGGCAGCAGGAGCCTACTAATTATTGGGCCTAGATCTCTGAGTTCAAATAGAAGTAAAACATAAATATAAAATTAAGTAAATGCAAAATCCTTTTTACTTGCCAATCAGTTTCTGCAACTGAAAGAAGCAAACATCAAATTAGTTTTTTTTTTTTTTTTTTTTTTTTTGATTTCAGAGAATGTTCTAAGACAATAAAACACAAACTTTTTTCAAAGTATCATCCACTTGGTGTTTAGCTTGAAGTGTAAGACTAACAACTATAGCTACTTTGTAAAAAATGTACTCTCACCTAAAGCCTAGTAAGATTCATTTTTTTTTTTTTTTCCAGAAAACATAAAATGTCTTTGGTCTGGTATTACTATGAAAAAATTTTAACCTTTAAAACTGATCCCAATAAGCATGGCCCTTAAACAGTTCATGGTCAATATTTAGTTATATGAAAATAGTTCATTCTCTTCTAGAATCTAGTAAAGCACAGTCATCTGGTGAAAGACTGAAAGTCAGAAGACGTTTCAAAAGCTTCTCACTGAAATGTTAATTTGGTAACATGGGATAAACAGAATTTTGCATGAGTGGGGAGATCTTAGTCACTCAACACCCCATGAAACAGTCCTGCTGGACCATGTTACCTATATCTGGGAGATGATTGTATCTCAGAGATGACTCAGTTTTAAATGTTTTATGCAGTTTCTTTTCTTGAAGGAAAAACTTCGGGACTTCAGAATTTTGGAAGCTGAATGACAAGCAGGTTTTTCAAGTTTTGCTGTCTCAGACGTTTTTCCTACTTCTCAGACTTTGCAGTTCTTTTCTTAGGTGCTTTATAGCACCTAAAATATCAGCATGCTGTGGATCGTTCCGTGCTTTCTGAGAATACAGGCGAAAATGTTTGATGGTTTCAGATAACAGGACTTCAGGGTCGGCATCTCGTGCCTGAAGGCGCAGCATCCGCTCACAGGCGATGGCATAGTTCTTGTGCCAATTCACTGGGTGCTCCTTTTGTAAATAGACAATCTCCTTATAAAGCTAGAAAACAGCAGAAATGTTGGTATTCCATTGTTAATTCTTTTTTTTTTTTTTTCCCAAAAACAAACACAGAGGAATTAACAAGAAAAAAAAAAATCCAAGCAGCCTCCAGTAAAAATCTAATGATTGCTAGGCCATGCAGAAAATGCAAGGATGTTACTGTAATTATTACAGTAGCGGGAGGTAAATATGCTGCATCTAAAACTGCTTCTGAGGTTTTCGGATGTTGCAGGGGAAACCTAAGACACACTGTGTCAGGACAAAATGCTCTTCCTTCAGAAAGATGTTCTGGGGAAGTGATTTAATTTTAATTCATGGAAAGCTATTTACTCAACAGGTTAGAAGGGTTGAAACTCTAGATTTAGCTATTGGAGAAAAAAAAAAAAAGCTTTCTTTAGAAGACTGCCCAGAAAAAGAACTTGAAGGAATTTAAATGTTTGTCCCATATTTTTGACAGAAATTTCTCTCTACATTAAAAACAACACTAATAACAATGGCAAAGATAAAACAATCCAGACAAATTCGTTATCATAGAGGCTGGGTGTGACAGAATTTAAGAGACATCCATAAAGTGAGATACTGGAAAGCTTCAGAGTATCCTGTAATTTACAATTTTGATAGTTAAAAGTTTGCCCATAGGAATTTAGAATTTCCTTTTTCAACATCAGAGAGTATTAATTGGATAGAGTTAGATTTTTTTTTTGACAGGGAGTTTTCTAGAGAAAACACAAAAAATTTAACAGGTAAAAAGGCAGATACAAATCTGTAAAACAGAATATTACAGTTGCTTATTTGGGAATGTCACGGCTTTCTTGGAGACTGTCAGGTTGCAGATGTATTCAAAGCCGTTTACCTGTAGGCTTTCTGAGAGCACAGAAAAGCAACAGTGCTTTCTCCAAGGAACAAGTGCTTTTTGAATTAGACATGACATCAGTTAGTTAAAAGAAACCCAATCATATTGTCTGTTTTTCCAATTTCCCACTCCGGGGCAGACAAATGCATACCTATTTTAAAATAGCACCCTCATGAAAAATTCCACAATGCATGTTTTGATATATCTTTCCATAGTTAATAACCCTTGGTCTTCCAGCTGCCTTTTACAGCAAACTTCCCCTTAGTTCCCTTCCTTTTATACCATAGGGAAGAGGCTGGGCATGGTGGCCCATACCTGCACTCCTGGCACTTTGTAAGGCCAAGGCCAGAGGATTGCTTGAGGCCAGGAGCTGAAGACCAGCTTGGCCCACAGAGCAAGACCCCATCTCTAGTTAGAAAAAATAAAGAAGAAAATGGGAAAGAATCATCACGCACTTTCATATACAGCAAGGTGACTGTCAGACTCCTACCCTTTATCCTCTTGGTAAAATTTTCAAAGCGTCTTTACCCTTTCCTCACCATCGTTTTTTCTCCGGTGGTTTCTCTTCACGAGCCCTCCCCATAAGACACGGGTGTAAAGGCTGTAGCACACTGCCTCACGCTTAAAGGAGGCATTCAGGAACTGTTCAGTTTTCAAAATCCTAAGTGTTGCTTTTTAAAAAAATTAAGTATAATACACATTTCCTTACAAATCTATGCCACTTAGATTGATGTTTGTTACTTTTCTATTTTTAATTTTTGTAGGTACACGGTTGGTATATAGATTTATAAGGTGCATGAGATATTTTGATATGGCTTGCCATGTATAATGATCACATCAGGGTAAATCGAGTATCTATCACCTCAGGCATTTATCTTTTATTTGTGTTACAAACAATCCAATTATACTCTTTTAGTGATTTTTAAATGGATCGTAAATTCCTGTTGACTGTAGTTACTCTGCTGTGCTATCAGATTCTAGATTCGTATTCATTCTAACTATATTTTTGTACCCATTAACCATCCCCAGCCCACCACCCCACACGAAGGTGCTGAAGTCCAAACCAGATGCCAACACTTCCAGCAACATTTCCCCAACTACTCCAGGGAATGGAGGCTCATTCAAAACCCACCTACTAGTGTTCAGGCATCAGGAAAACTGTACTACCTTCATCTGGAACACTTTGTTACTGACGCATTATCAACTTATTTTAGATGTCCTATTAAGCTCCATGTGCCATATCTTAAGAAGCCCATCATTTCTCATTATGTGGCATTATATTTCTTCCTCTATATTTATGTGTTACCGTGACATTAGTCTCAGTGGACCGTATTCTGTTAGTTAGGGACACCTTCAAATTATCCAATTTATTCCTATAACATTGGTTACTCCTGGTCCTGCTTCCCAACCGTGCTGACATTAAGTCACCTGAACTTAATGTTCGGTATGAGCTATAGAGTAGGATAATGTACCCCGCAACAAAAATATTTTTTATACCTAACAAGAACAGTCTTGAAAAACTAGCACGGGGGGTGGTAATTAAGTAATTATCACCAAGTAATTGGCTTCACTTGTCTTGTAAACATTGTCATACATCTGGAGACTGTGCAAAGGAGAAACCAATCATCTGTGTTCACTGAAAAAAATAACCCTTGCTGACCAGAAGGGACAGTAACAAATCCACAAACCAGCTTTAGTAGTAGCCTAACAACTGACCATGGGAGAGATCACTGATGAGAACAGAAAACAGTAAGTCTCCTATCTCTCCCAACTAAATATTGCTTGTTTTTCACAGAATTACAAGCTACTGGAGATAAACAGCATTATGCTATGAACAGGATATGAAGGACAATGTTTTAAAGTTTAAAGCCCCCTTCGATTTTTCTTTTTTAGGAAGAAAAAAAAAATCAAGGCCTGGAAAGGTTCATTGACTCACAGTTGACAACTAATGGCAGAGTGGGCCTAGAAGCGGGGCCTCCCTACTGCCAGAGAGAACTCCAGCATGCTGCCTTCTATAATCAGGTATCTTGCTGTCCACAAGTGGGGCACCTCGGAGGGTTCTGCCTTTGCCCCCGTGGCTCGCTCCTTATGGACTGCTCTCCCCTCCCTCTCTTGCCTCCTTGCCCCACCATCTGTCTGGTGAGCTCCTTCTGATCTTTCAAGATGACACTCCCATGACGTCCCCTCTGGAAGCTTTTCCTTCCTCCCTCCCTCGCCAGCCTACTCCCCAGCTTGCTCTGGTCCAGTGCACCTCTGCATGCCTCTCACAGAACTCACAAGAACGAACTGTGACTGAGGACCTGATCTTCTGTCTCCTTCTCTAGCCTGACAGCTTTTTGATAGCAGGGATAAGACTTGATTGTCTCCAAAACACTATTTGCATGGAGTGGGTGCTTAAGAAATGCCTTGTGGGCCGGGCGCGGTGACTCAAGCCTGTAATCCCAGCACTTTGGGAGGCCGAGGCGGGTGGATCACGAGGTCAAGAGATTGAGACCATCCTGGTCAATACGGTGAAACCCCGTCTCTACTAAAAATACAAAAAATTAGCTGGGCATGGTGGCGTGTGCCTGTAATCCCAGCTACTCAGGAGGCTGAGGCAGGAGAATTGCCTGAACCCAGGAGGCGGAGGTTGCGGTGAGCCGATTGCACTCCAGCCTGGGTGACAAGAGCGAAACTCCGCCTCAAAAAAAAAAATGCCTTGTAAGTGGATGAATAAGTGAATAAACAAGGAACTAGTGACCACAGTTTCAGAATAAAAGTGGTCACGCTGATTGGACACCAGGCTATTTTGATTTAGCACCAAACACTTGCCCTGGCTGAGTAGAAAGACAGCAGTCCAGAGATAGCAAAAATAGCAGCTCAGACACACAGGTCCTATGCTCTGATTTCATTGTCCCTTGTCAGGGTGTTAGTTTCCTACATAGCAGACTGTGCAAGTGTCCAAAGTGCCCAGTGCCGTAAGTCACAGAAAAGCAGAGACTCTTAGTGTCAAAGCAAGTCTCCTTTATCAGTTCCTGCTTCTCATCAGAGAGGACAGATTTGTGCAGGAGCTTCAGTGTGGTTGTGCCTTTCAAAGGTTCGTTTGCCTTCCTGGGGCCACAGTTAGAAGACAGAGCCCACCTCCATGACTGCTGATCTCCTCTCATGAAATCTCAACAAGCCATGGCCTTATCATTTCAAGTGTAGCCACGTCATGACTTTTGCATAGAGAGCAACCTGCTAGACCTTGTTTTATATGAAGCTATTATATTAGTTTCTCATTGCCATTGTAACAAATTACCACATACGTTTATTATGCGTGGTTTAAAGCTGTGTTTTTTTTTTTTTTTTTGAGACGGAGTTTCGCTCTTGTTACCCAGGCTGGAGTGCAATGGCGCGATCTCGGCTCACCGCAACCTCTGCCTCCTGGGTTCAGGCAATTCTCCTGCCTCAGCCTCCTGAGTAGCTGGGATTATAGACACGCGCCACCATGCCCAGCTAATTTTTTGTATTTTCAGTAGAGACGAGGTTTCACCATGTTGACCAGGATGGTCTCGATCTCTCGACCTCTTGATCCACCCGCCTCGGCCTCCCAAAGTGCTGGGATTACAAGCTTGAGCCACTGCGCCCGGCTAAAGCTGTGTTTTAAAGCAACATGTATTTATTATCTTGCACTTCCAGAGGTGAGAAGTCATAAAACCAGCGTGACTGTGTTCCCTGAGGAGGCTCTAGAGGAGAATCTGTTTCCTGACCCTTTCCCGCCTCCTCCAGAGGTGGCCTGCACTCTTTCACTCCTGGCCCCTTCCTCCATCTGCAGTCAGCGTGTAGGATCTTCGCGTGTCTGTCTCTCTCTGCCCTCTGCTTCTGCATCACGTCCCCTTCTCTGACTCTGACCTGCTTGCTTCCCTTTTATGAGGACCTTTATGATTATGGTGGGTCCACCTGGATAATCTGGGATAATCCCCGTCTCAAGACTCCTAACTTAATCCCTCCCAAACCCCGCTTTGTTACAAAGGTAACATACTCATAGGTTCTGGAGATTAGGACACAGACATCTTTTTTGGGCTCAGTCTTTGAGTCTTTTGACTGCATCTTGCACTATTCTGGATTGCTTGAGAGAGAAACAACACTGTCTGTCTAGGAAGACGCAGAGACCACCTTTTTCAGG